CTATATTGTAATTGTTGCTGCTCTTCAGTGCTCACGACTCTATTGCTCTTGCTAACATCGCTACGACTAACACCGCTGAATTGATTTCGCAGTGAATCGGCTCATCGATACGACCCCGAAACCGACGAAAACATCTACCAAACCACAACCCTTTGGATTCACCTGATCAAACGTCGCCATGCTAATAGGTCTGATTGTCAGGGTCCTGCAGATAGATGCAACTGTACTCTATCATACGCAGACATCCGAGTGACTCAACATGCGAGGATACTGACCCACTACTAGGTAGGAACCTTTCTATTGTTATAGCATTATGATATATAGTAAATCATAACATTGTGCATCAATAGACGGGGCAGAATGCTTCAGAGTAGGTTATTCGGATCGAGCACCATACGCGAGCTTGACGCGCATTCATGAAATGCCCAGTTGGGCGCCGTTGTGGTATACCAGAGGCCGCAAAAAGACATGCTGAAGCAGACGATCGACAGCACAGTGGAACGTCGCGATGGATATCCAGTTTGCAACAAGAGGAGGTACTGGTATACCAATTCTATTGGACGGCACCAAGTTATGAAAACTTGTGAGTCCGTAAGTAGCTATCAGTGAGAAATAAGAGAAAATGCACTATGTCTTTTCTAACAAATAAAAACGAGTTCAAAAGGATTTTAAACAAATTTATTTACCCGCTAGTATTATACTCGATAGGGGTGAATTAACGTTATTATCGAAGATCGCTGCTAATGAACGAATCACTTATGTTTAAAATTAAACGATCCGAGTCGCTCGGACTATTATTTCCTATATCCTATGTCCAACTCCTTACTCGACGCTGTCATGGAACGTCTACGGTAAAGTCTACTAATATTTTAAGCAGATACAAACCGAGTTCTTGCACAGGGTGTTTCATACTGTATAGTCCATATATATAATACGTCATTATTTCAGATATTCAACGCATATCGTAATGGACTCTTCCGATTTGGCGAAAATAGACTCTCCGTAAAGCTGATCTATAGATAGAATTACTCGTCAAAAACGGTAGTAATTAGCTCGAAGCTGTTAACAACTGCCTCCCTATACCGCATCGTTACAGGATGCCGTTTGCCGTCTTTCCTTATATTTCAGTAAATTTAGATGCCCCGCCGGCGTGAAAAGGCCAAACGAAGCAAAATAGTAGCCAGTGCTACAGTAGCTAGTTGTTAAAAAACAATGCGTAACGGTAAAGATGGAAGTTCATTGTAGCTTGGAATATCAGGACTAACGAAACTGAGCTATACCATTCACGAATTATGCACAAAGGTTTTTGTTACTTAATCGGAAGCGTTGAGAAAAGGCACTGGAAAGGTCCAAATCTATTTTTAGACAAATAAGAGTAATTTGCATGTTGCTCAGATCACTTTTGTCATATGTAACAAATTTACTGCATGAACTACATACATGTCTGGTACACGATATCACGGGTACACGGAGCTAAAGATCGCATTGGACAGAAAGTTGTATGTACCGGGCTGTGAACGTACAGATCGTGTACAGATTCTGATATGACTCGTCAAGCTGATTCGCTGGTAACGCGAGCGTCAGCACTTGTCAGATTCTGTAGAGTCCTTTATTTGTCGGCGCGTGAACAATGATCGTGCAGATAAAAACAAACACTCATGAGCGATATTCACGTAACACAACGACACGGTTAATCTCAACTTTATGCTGAACTATCTGGGGGAAAATTTTCTAACAATCATGTGCTAACGTCGTCGTACAGAGTTCTATACGGCTAGCACTATAGGGAGGACAATGTCGCATAGGGGCAATGCTCGATAATGGTGGGTTTTAAGCTGACGTGCAAATGGATAAATGTTACTGCTTCTCTACTCTTTTGATAGTTAGTTCACATACCTGCAGCAAACATAGTCGTACCAGAAGTTGAGTCGAATAATCGTATTCATTGGCTTGGGTAGGATTTCAACCTGCGCCCCTCGTCAAAATTGTTAGGCAGGTCGTCGGGTCTGTAAGTCTATTTAGGATTCTTGAAAATCAGCCAAAGTTTGCAAATTGGTACAGTGGGTCAACAAACTGTTTGTAGGCAAAGTTCATGTTCTTCTATGTAACGGTGGCTGGATGGATATGTTCAATCGGATTGATTTCCATAAAAGTTCCAACAAGACGGAAATCATTCGCTACGAGTTTTCTAGTTAAGCCTCAGTGTGGCTAGATCGCTACTTTGCCCTTCTTGCGAGGTTCTGACGTAGATCGGAAACTTAGCGATTTAGTCACATACGTTCTAATACGAACAAGGTAATTTAGTGAAAAGGATGACTATACGCGTCGCTAACTTTTTACATTTTTGGAAAGTTAAATAGGATTTTTGTTAAATCGTAGTACTGATCAGGTTGTTTTAGATGGATGATTTAAGTATTACGAACTGTATTCACGGCCATACGCCCACACACACGGATTCTTGAGTACCAGGGTTCAAACATGACGATGGACAACGTCCTTTACCTGTTTGTCTCTAACTTTGAATTTATGAATAATGTTAAGTGTTACAAGCTGAAATGAAATGTATAACACTGTCATTATTTAGAGATATCAAGTATCTAAAGACATGTAAGCAAGTTAACGTTCCCTATATAAATAATAAAATAATAATAATAATAAATTATCTGGGTAAGGTGGGAACTTACAAAAAAAAATCTAATGGTGCAGTGTAATTACATACGTTATTCCACGGACGACAAGAAATATGTCACAGATGAATGGTGAAACGGCTGGCAGTTGAATACCACATACAGATTAAACTGTAATATTCTTTAAGGATAAGGAAAGAAGTATCCGCAATAATTACCATTAATACGAAACCAGAAATTGTTATACAAAGACAGATACTGAAATTACGATCTACGTAGAGGAATATGAAAGTTGAACGTTGACGAGTGGAGGGAAAATATAAACAACATAGTTTGCTACAGCAGAATAGTTTGGTCAGAAAACGAAGGGCCGTAACAAAACTTCGAATGCTCATCAGGGTTGTACATATATATGTATATATATAGTTGTGGGTGCGGTGCCTTAATCACCCTGCTCGATACTGGGGTAATAAAACAAAGAAGCCGAATATTGAATAACTTGAAGGAATCTGAAAACTTTAATTATAGAATTGTAAAAATGAGTGTTCGTTTTAGTGTATGGTAGTTCAGTGTTGCTGCAGTAAACATTCTATGTATCATATTTAATCTGCTCCTGTTGTTCTTTTCAAATCTTAAATCTAAAGATGGCGCGGCATTGACGTGACATTTTTCAGCGTTGGCGTGTCTGTTCCCGTACAGGTAAATCATATCTTCCAAGTACGTCTTTGAAGGTAAGTTAGCCTTCACTGAGTCTGATTGCACAAAGTAAAATCCAAGGAAGACTTGCTTCGATCTCCTTAAACAGCGTATCTTAAGAAAAGAGGGTATACCATTTGCACAGCCATCGCTTTTTTTGGCTTTTACTAAATTTACTACCAGTTACTAGAAGCGTATAGCATTATTCAATCTGCAACGAGCTGACGCTTTTTGACTAACCGCACAAATTTCTCCGTACTTATTCCATTTTTCGTACCCTTCTCTTCAGGGTTATCGCCTCCTCGTTGCGTTATCTTCTTCATGCTCAGTGTGTCTCATACAAATTCTGCAGTCTTCTATTGGCGCGGCTTATAGCGCTTATCCATATTGATTGCACAATATTTCATTTATCAGCACCTACGTAATCGACATCGTGCATTTGAAAGGGAGAGCACAGGGAACGTACCCGAGCCATATTGAACTGAAGCTAATAAAACAACGGAAGAAATCATTGATCATAAATGACAGGAACGGCGTTTGAATATGTTTTATGGAACAATCCATATATCCATTATGGGAGGAAATAATATTACCGATGAAAAACGCATCCATATCCATAACAAAGACATATATAGGACGTATTGTTAGTATCTGAATAACCGGAAACAATTCTAAATTGTCGGGTGACCATCGACAGCTATTTTTATCGATAACAATCATACTATTACGCGTCATCAATCACTGACACCCACATACATTAAACTAGTACTCAATCTTCTCAGAGGTGGTAGTGGTATCATTCGTATATGGCATGTTTACGTTTCATTAACCTAGCTTACTTTATTATTACCTTTACTAGCTCCACCGTGCATGTATTTTTTTATAGATTTAAACGTTTAATTGTTTGCTTATCGTTTACACATAGAAACTTTGTTAACCACAGGTCTTACACAGAATCAGGGTACACTTCGTAAGCTCAACATAGCCTGTCTTATTACACAATTCTATTATCAGACGTTACATTACAAACGAAAAATAAAATAATAACAGTAAACGAATCGTGCTAATTACAGTAAGAATGAAACGTTCGTTATGATATAATTTTTGCTCATAGCAACGCTGTTTATCGTCGTTGATGTCGTTATTCTCGATCTTGTACGTGAAGCCTCATGCTTCCACCGTGGTCGTCGTGTTCCCATAGCAACACAGTCCCATTACTACCCCATAGAGTTATTGTAGCGCATTACGCTTGCGATAGTGCGCAAATGATGACTACGGTGATGATTACTAGTGTTATTGTGAGGACTAGTGCGTATTATGCCAAACTTTTCCGTCGACTACCATGATTACCATCACCAGGGTCCCTGTAGTTTATGCTGGGTTGGCCCGTTCCTCGGGGCCACCCAAGTATCGCGCCAGGTGCACTTACCACCAGCACCAACGTTGATGTCGACAGTCATAGATACAGAAATCGAACAATTTTGTGCTTCTCGGCCGGATAACTCGAGGGGCCGACTGTTGGTTAGCCCACCGGGTTAACTTTTTTTTTCCTTTTTATTTTCTACACGGTCACAACGACGGTGACTATGAAAGCAAACCGATACGATACCATAAATATAACAGTCGCCTTCTTTGGGGAGGGCTTTAACTACGGCCACACGTATCCAGTAAAGACTCAACTGGAGCTATTCCTACTAACTGTTATTAATCATTTTATGTATAAACGTAACGAGTAGCATCGTCGACCAGCATTTAGCGGAGATAACACCGGCACCGTCTGTAGTCACTACAGTAGAAAACGTATACAGCTATATTTTTATTATTATTACTGTTGTTATTTATTATTGTTACTATTTGAGGTCGTTTCTGGTGTAATTTCTATTCGCTTCTAGCTATAGTTGTTATTGTTGAAGCGTAACTTCTGTTTTGGTAGAACAGGTAGCCGTCCAGGCTTCTGTGACACGGCGGGTGTCCACGCAAAAGTCGCTCGGAAGTAACTTAAGGTGCCTGGATCAGATTCGGCCGATACCTTCAATGCGGTCACTTCCTGTAGTTATTTCTTCAAGTTATAAACGTTCGTTATATTTCTCCTTTGTCCTTTAGAATATTTGGTTGGATTGAGCATAAATGGCTGGTGAAACCTGTCTTTTTTTTTCGTTGTACTTATTTACAACACCATATAGAAAATGAACGATGTAAATTGCTATGAATTGATCATAATAGTGCTAGCAGTACTTGAGCACGCGATATGTTAAACTGACTTGTATTAGAAGTATCACAATTATCATCAACCTTAGTTTGTATTACGCGCTTGGCGACTGTGCGCGCACACATCGTGTATGCTTTCTCAATCCACGTTTCCAGTAAAGAGAGATTTACTAGAACTTCACAACGATGTTGACGCTAGACGTCTACAGTCACTCGCAAGCAACGTCTGTTCCGTTACTTAGATAATATGCATGATAGCTCGGAGTATTTGCCCCATGACTGAACTCCCAAATGATCCAATGGCTTTTTCAAGGGGGATGCCACCTTACGTCTACGTGCCTTGGCCCCGTGCCTTTGCGAGCAGTGACGCATTAATATAATCTGTACATAGCCGCACCACGATGAAGGCCTGTGGCATAGCCCACATACATAACTCGCACAGATGTGTATTCCCACAATATGCATTTTTCCCCCAGAAACCGTCTACCGAAACCGTGTCGTTTTTATATTATTCTATTATTTAGTTAATATCCACGAACAGCTGTTTTAAGCTCAGTGCTTACAGTGAATAAATATAAAAAATCTCACGACTGCGTTTATGATCATTAGCGTCCTAGAGAAGTTCGCGTCTCTTCATTTATCCAATTTATAAACCTTTTTTTAAATACTAGTTACTTTCATGGGCTCAGAGTCGCCCTATAGCAGCAGAGGGAAGCACAAATCGTATTTTATTGGCAAAAAACAAGTGCACATCGTACGGCCTAATGAAAGAAGGCACAGAAAATCGGCCAAAAAATACGAACGGTGGTGGGCGGTTTTCAGCTTGGCGTTTAACGCTTTCTGCGGTTCGCTTTGTGCCGGACTATTGAAAAGAGGATCGAATGCACGAAATCTTTTGTGGTCGTTCACATCAACAGTAACATTTTGCACTACAAGTTACCATTATGTTTTAGGGGGAAGATGGAACCTGTTTGCCATCGATTCATGCTCGAGACAGAATCGCAACTAGTATGTAGAAATGCTCAGACGAAAGCAAGCTCTACCGAAATCGCGTATCTCCGTGCATAATCTATAGCACAAGGATAAACTCTACAATAATGCGGTTCTGTTGTCTTTGATGAAACAATGATGCGAGTGAAGCGTTTCTGCTGACTCAATGACTATGCCCCGTCTATGAAAAGGTTTCATTTCGAAGGGCTAAAAGTAGGGAAAAGTGCCAATTCGCGGCAGTATACGTCTCTATATATGTGACACTTACGCGAATAAATCTCAAGTTTAAAATTACCCATTTCATTTGGTTGGCACTACTATATTTAGGGTTTGATTTGATATTTACTTGGCTAAATATATTAATATTACTATTATTATTATTATGATTATCAAATATTATATACGTATTCGACAAACACCGCGTCAACAGTATTCCGTTTTTAACGTACATTATTGCTATACGATTATGCTACAGCCAACAGTTTGTGTGAAGAGCAAAACTACGATAAGGCGTTCTTACTGGTAGATGAGATAGGAGTTCGTCTCTATTTCGAAACCAAATGACGTCGCAGCCTTGAACATTTTTTCCTTTACGATGCCGTTTTTATAATTCTAAAGCTGACATCATCAAACGCTGATATACTTGAGTGATTTCAACAGAACCTCAGTACAGATCAAACTCCACTCCTCTTTCGGCTTTGTTTATCCATTTTAGGTGAAAACGTTCTAAGCAATAACCAGAGACTTATAATATTCATACCAAACCCATGGTTCGACCCTGACAGGCTGCAGGCCGCATCACTGTGCCTGTTAGTACAAAAAGGCCAAAGTGGGCACATATAGGTATTTAAATCATCGTTTTCAATCAAATTAATGTTTTTATTCATACGCAACGCCTAAAAAGTAAGATATATTGGAGTTAGATCCGCAGTAGCTTGTGGTTGGTAAGTAGATTAAACTTTATCGATTTCAAGTGAAGACATTAAGGTCAGTCCAAGGTAAAGTGATCAGATAAGGCTGGCCGGTTGTTCAAGGTATGTCAATAAAACTGTGCTTATATGTAGCGGAAAAGTTACTCATGAATATGGGACTTCAAACTTATGTAGAGGAAAGGGCTGTCCAAGGACTAAGAACAAAACGAAACTTTATATATAAAGATATGCTTCAGCGTTGGTAGAAGTTGCTCCTCATTATTGCGCCATCCTATCTGGGGAAATATAGACACCTGAAAAATTAGATGAAGACACGATATATACATCATTAAGGACACTAGCCCGTATTTCCAAGTAAAATGCCGTAATCTATAAGCCCAACTTACAAATATGTATTCTTACATGGATCGGGCGCCGAAAAACAAATCTCGCAAATTACTATAGTAAATTAAAAAGTAATTTAAATAAATTGTGTAATATGCGTATCATAATCTACTCATATAAAAACTATGGCATAGAAAAGGGAGGTGAATGAGTACATAAACGTCATTAAGTAGAAGAATCGCGAAGTGTTTTGCAGTGTTCAAGAGAATCCATGCTTAATAACGAAAAAAAGTTGAATAGTAAGTTATGTAAGCTATATGCAATGAAGTAGCATTATGATATCTTCGGGTGAATAAGTGCCCTTAAGTTACATGGTGATGAAAATGCGAAAAGCCTTAAAATTCTACTGATCATTATTTGCTGTTTCGAACAGAACGGAACAGAAGAAAGAAGAGGATAAAAACGTGGGAGACGAACCAAGTAGTTGGCTACAGAAAATCGCATGGATACACAAGGATGATGAAAAGCTAAATTTTTATGAGTTGTCACGTTGCCCTCCCGTAAAATTGCGTCATAGGCAGTACCGATCGCAAAAGGCAGGGATAAGAAAAGTTCGTTAGTGCCAAAATTGAAACAATCGCGTTGGCGCTCATCAGTTTCATTCTATTGCGACTCTTGTGAGGTTATGTAGTGACGTTCATCACGAGAAACATAATACTTCATAGGAGAGGCTGTTCAAAGCAGATAATGCATTTTCTATTGGATGGCAAAAAAAGTATCGTGGTTCTTTACGAATCACGATCAACAAACCTCTTATGTGTACGTAAGGTAAGAGGTAATCTGCCAGTCCGTTTGTACAGTATGATTGTATAAACGATACGCAAGGAAAGCGTTTGATGTTGTTCCATTTGATTTCATCAAAAATGCGGATGTCCTGAATAGATGAAGCGTATTTTAATGAAGTCCGCAACAAGATCAATTCACATCATAATACCTAAGCTCATCTGCAGATGATCACACTTCGTAAGCTTAGTAACTGGTCAATGGGCATCAACATGTTTGATCTATACCTCTATAAAAACATAGCGAGTATGTCTAACATTGTGTTCTATGATGCTTTCTATACCCTCGGTTATGCTGACCAAATCGTTGCCAGTTAAAAGACCTTACATTTTACAGATTCTGTACCTCTGTTAATTCTACTTGAACAAATTGCACATAGACCTGTGTCTGACTCAAACGCAAATACCCTATTTTTTTTTGACAATTTAGTAATAATTTGTTTAATGAATTTTACTAGAGGTGTTTGTTACTAGCTGAAATCTGTCTTTCGGTTCGATTTATTTCTTGATTCTCGGCAATCTCTTCTCTTCGCTATTGGTTCCTCTATTTTATCCTCAGTGAAGGTATAGCATCACCATCATTGGCGTCACTGTGTACAATTCAAGATAAAGTAATTGCTTAGTGATAAGCGGACAAAACAATCGCCTGTATACACACATTCGCATTTGGTCCTGAGCGGTCTTGAAGGCCAATTTAGAATAGCATGTGAAGCGCACGCCACGCGATGCTAACGGGTCAATCAGTAGACTAACAAAGTTCGCCCTACAGGCGGTAAATGGCCTTACGGGGCCACCGGTTGAGCCGCACACACCATGTCCCGCTTGCGCCATGCACCGAGACCTATCCACAAAGTGGACCAAATTAATCTCAAGTTAATAAATAAGCTGCTGCAGATAATAATCTACAAAAGCGCTGAGAGTCCTGAGCTATAGATCTCTCTTTTTTGCAATTCGGTAAACATTATCACCATCGGATCGGTGTCTGTGTTTATATCCTCCACAGGCTAATCAGAAACTTGTAATCGTACGTTTCCCGCCGTCAGCTGCCGTAGCACTTATGCTGCTACTGTTGAATTTGACCTCCTAGCAAGAACAACGTAAATTGGTAAATGCTTCTACCGAATAAGTTAGACAAGACATGTCTGAATTTTGTACCTCTGCATCATTTTATATTATGTAAGAAACTGGTGAAAGATGGTCGTATTCGGTATACATCTATTACTAATCCTTGCCAGCAAGAAAATGTTGTCTCGGTGAGTCAAGATGGGCAAGGTAAGACATATAATGAACATATTCGCTACTTTAAACTGCTGCGTACCAAGATGAGGAATTGATCATTTTCCGTCAACATCAATCAGATCGGGTACAAATGATATCGACGACCAGACCATATCGAATCTCATGGTATATGAATATCTGGTTTGTTCTGAGCTCTCCTGCGATCAGGAAAGACGGAAACTTAGTCCGCAAAATACAAAGATGAAATAAACGGGGCACGATCACGCACTACCTGAACCACTATTCTGTCAGCATTATTCTTATCTATGACCCATGAAGCAGAAACCGTCTGAACCGAGCCGATTATTAAATTTTCACCAGCTTCTGCCTTTATTTCTCTGCGACTAAAGTGAGGTAGATTAGTTAAAGGGCAAACGAACCGCCAATAACTTAGTCGACCCATTCCTCGTTTGTTCATTAAACTTTCCTTTTTTCTAACCGTTTTCCGTACAGCGGCAATACAACGATGGACAAATAGAAAAACAATTGGGATGTTGCCTGTTGTTAAACGGGACAGACAGGGCTTCGGTGTTGAAATGTGGGGTTGCCACCTGACGAGATGCACTAGATCCTTGATCTCTTTTTCAGGCATATATGTGTAGATTAGCTCAACAGTAATTTTTACGGGTTCGTGTACCACGTATTGTTGTTTTGCAGAGAATCACCCTGCAGTGAGACAAAAACAAGACAGATAAGCGCAAGATCTTCTTTTCCACCTCTGCGAACGAGACGTCCTTCAAAATTCGCGCATTTTATCTTCTTCTGCAGTACGGCAGTTTATACGGTATCGGACTATGGTAGGTTTATGCCGGTTATAACTGTCAGTATCCTGGACTAGCTATATGGTAGGCCGTATACTGTTCTCGGCCTGTCGGTGCCGCTGTCTTCGTTCAGTTGCCGCTGTCGACTATTATGTACAAGAAAGTAGTTGGCAAACAAGCAGTACTATAATACAGCCTAGAATCGGCACATACGAATCAACTGCCTGTAACAGCAGTAGGCGAATCAGCAGCGTCACATGATGTTAGTGGCGTTTGGCAGTAGTAGCTGCGTCAAAGGGCGACGGTAGCTCAAGAACGGCCGTGGGGCCCAATGAAAAGCGGTGAAAATGAAGAAGCAAACAGAAAAAACACGACGTCTGTTGCAGACACCTTCGTGTCTATTGGGGTCGTGTTGTTAGGTCAAGGAGCGGGAAGAATCCGCCCCTTCGTTTGCGGTGTATTTGTCTGTCTGCCATTTCCCGTCTCCGTCTGTATATCTATTCATGAATTGCGTATCTACCTGTTCGTACGTGTAGAGCGCTGTGGGTCCACTTGTGTCCGCTAGACAGCTAGTCATGATACGTTGAGCAGCACAAATCAGAGATAGTTTTTGGCTATAATTGATAAAAAGGATCAGTGGGAAGCAGAACAAGTAGAAGATTTGTCTTAGTAACTATTACTTTTACTTTTGATTCGTTCAACATGTCTGCTTTTCAGAGATGTACGCTTGTCGGCGTTTAAGTTGGTACAAGTTCGAAAAGCTCAATGTACATAACAGTGGAGTACCGACCCAGCCATTTATGAAGGGACGGTGAGTCTTAAAACTTCGCATTTTTTAGTGTATCTTTATCATCTGGAAAAGAAACAATAACTGTAAACGTCTCCCATTGCGGGTGCAATGTGCCTCGTGCAGGGACAAGAGAGTACCAGTACCGTTTTCTAAACGTAATACGTATATATATATATAATCGTAAAAGCGTCACAGAGCATTTTGTGTATATGGGCACGTATATATGAAACGATTAAATCGATGGACGTATTCGTAAGGCCTGGAACGTTTTTTTTTTTAATTCCAGAATTGAAGCTAGTAGTCTAGCATAACGTTCCAGTACTGTATCAAGTTTATATCAGGTTAGTGGTGCTAAGTACATAACAGATTAGGCAGGGCCTTGTCTTACTTAAGCAAGTGAATTTAAGAAGCGCTATCTATCTTATAGATTTGTCGTAGTGTTTGTCCTGAATGTTTATTCATCGTCATTAGGTTCGTTCGAACAGAAAATGTTATAGACGAATTTTAGTGTACAACTGCTACGTTATCAAATGATGCAGAAAGTTCTCCCTTACACATCTTCAATAAACACCTAGTAGCTCTCATAAAAGTCATTTTTCCACAGATCGCTTATGGCATTGATCGCTTTCGACAATAAAAGTCTATATGGGATCGTGGCCTTGAGGATAAACAGGAAACAAAAAAAAATTAACACACTTTTACGAAAAAAACAAACACAATGCGGTACCCAATACGGGTCGATAAGCAATTTTTGCAGACCCAATTCAGACATACCTATCTATGGACTATCGAACTGACTTGCAACGCTTAAAGATCAAAATTAGCAATCGACTATTGAAACTGAAGTACATTACGTATATTAGAAGATAGGAGAATGTCACGCTAAGCTTTTGCTAGCATCTTAATATAGTATGATCTTCTGAGCTATAGAGTAACTGAACAGATGATTCACTGAAGAACCAGCGTTCGAATGGGTCTACTAATGAGTGTCTACATAGCGCGGTGGCTGCATAAATTTCTATATTTGATTTGAAGGTGAATTCTCCCTAGAGTCCTATTAGGCCTTGACCACACGCACACGGTCAAACGGCAGAGCCTCTTGAAAATCTTAGCACGAGGCTCGAGCGTCTGAGTTGATATTTATCGGTCACCGATTCAGCGCTGAGAATCGTGCTTTCATATAGGTGTTAAATAATCCAACAATCCAACGTTTAGCAAGTACCGAATATCTACTGCTACTATTGGCAGCACACTTTAACTGGCTCACGCCATTCTATTAAAGCTTTGGCAGGAACCACTGGTTTAACTTGTCTGCGTAATGAAGAGTGCTTCGGAACTGTTCGAGAGGACAAGAAAACGTCTATAAATATCTACAGTAATAGTTCGTGCGTCATGTATTTTCATTAAAAGTCTAAGCAGCCCTAGTGACTCCTTGCCCACGAGCTGCAGTGATTTAAAAATACGACGCTGACGTGAAATGAAAGCGGCCCCTGAGAGTAAACTATCACTGCTTAGATCAGAACAAGCATTAATGGGCCTTACAAGTTCGAAACTAATATCCCACTTCCATGCAGTAAAAACGAATCGCTTTTTCAGCTTATTTTAATTAAATTAGCGTTCATAGGATACGTGTATATATGCCTTGCTCTCTGGACCTCAGTAACATTGTGGTCTGTGATATCTATTCGTGGAAATGTAGCGTTGAGAACTAAGAAACAAAGGCTGATCTGTACTCAATTTTTAGCAGAAGTCAACGACCTTAGAGTGAAAATTCTACTAGATTAGAACACTCACACGTTTGTCCTAAAATTATGAAGCAAATTTAGAATTAAAATGTTACTTCGTTCCCTTTAATTGCAGATATCTTTCCTCTGCTTCATTACTTTCGTATGTTATTCGTAACATAACGTATCATTTTTTTCGGATTGGTTTCATTATAATAATAATAGTAATCATTCTAATGTTCCTGACCAAAAGTTACTCACCTAATTAATTCTTCCTGGTTATTGATATTCAGTTGACAGAAACTTGCGCATACACTTATCCTTTCCTTAGCACAGCCTCAACAGTTATCGGAGGGGAGAGGGAAGGGTAGAATTCAGCATCTTCGGCGCCAAATTTAAATTCGAGGATAACTATCTATATGATGAGCGGAAGTGCTGAATTCAATGTTCGCCATCAAAATGCATTTCTGCAATACAAAAAAGTATCTGAGAAGCGCTTTTTCAACAAGTCAAAACGTTTTCATATTAGTTATCGTTCGCCGACATTTTCCATTGTGATAACTTAATGATTTTAATTATTGCGAGGAATGAATGAATGAATGAAAGTGGAATGAGTTGATCTAGGGAAAGTGCTTGAAGAGAATTAATCTTTACTAAAAATAGCTTGAACTTATATATACTCCTGAAAGAACAAACGATAAATTAGAAAAAAAAAAGTATATGAAGTGATTGCTAGTGATATCACTGGTTCGAATACGTTTAGCACAGCATACGAGTTGATTTTGATCAATCGCGCAAAACATAATTCCCCGAAGCTGACTGTTTACCTCGCTTGTTTACTCCTACGTATACATTGTAAAATATTGTGAAAAGACACAGAAGATTTCCGTCAAAGAGTAGATGTTTACCTAATTTACTATGTCACTTTCTTACCCGATTCTGGGCGCTTTTCATCGTCCCCTGAATAGTAGCATTGGTAAACAGTGATCATTATTTTTTGTCTAGCAGTCAAAGGAGATGAAGGAACAATTTATAAAATGTAAGGTCATTCATTGCTTATTCGTCGTTAAAGAATAAAACGAACGTTTGTATGTTTGCATATCGTTAATACATGTTAACAGTAAATGCAACTGATACAAATTGGATTCACACTATATATAGCGGGGAAAAAGAGCCTTTCAACATCTCGTCATAACCGCTGTTTTACAGACGACAGTTGCTTATTAAGGGTTTCTGGCTTACTCTTAGAACTGGTTGCTATTTCTGTTGAGCTGCCGTTAGGCCTAGTTAGTTTTTAACCATTACTGATTAACAAACTGACAAAGGAAAAATAAATGTCCCATAATTGTACCTGCTACGAATGCTAAACATGGAAACCTTTGACGTAAACGTAAGCACAGACATCCAGACCAGAGTCAGGAGCATCGGTCAAGGTCGCCACTGTCTACAATTTACGAGTGTTTTTTTGTTGATTTTTTTTCTATGTTCATATGAGGTAAGATACATGTGGTAGATGTTTGTGTTGTATAAGAAATAATGAAACCGTCGTTAACATAGAATTTTCAAATGGCCAAAAAAGCCGTTAAGCACTTACAGATCTTGCGCCTTTATCAATAATGGATAAGACTATTGGCACTATCAAGTCTCCGCTGCAATTTTATTTTAAAAATTAGCACAAAACTCTGTACGCAGCTGCATGATCTTTTTAAATTGGCGATCTTTCTTATGAAGATCTATATATTTTTTTCTCTTAAAGGTCGTGTGTCTAATATATGTATATGTATGATTAATTAGAAAAAAATAAGTACAGGTTTCTAACCTATGAGTGAAGCGTCCGGTGAAATTTCTACGGCGTATCGACGTTTCTCACCTTTATCACCCGACGCTTGTGGACAACAAAAAATGATAGTGGATAGTACGGTTCTTTGTTTTTCTTTTAGTGCACTTTTCTACCAGCTCGAGACAAAGTGTTGACCGCCACTCCCACACTATAACTCCTGGATAGAGGAGTCGTGTACAAGGATGCCTAAATGGACAGAATTTGTTAAGCATAAAGATATCAGTCAAACGGTCTAGAAATGACATTCGTGTTACTCATGTGTACAATATCCCACGTGTGCTAGATTTGCAAATACAGGTCGCTGATGCCACACTCTGATCATAAAATTACACTGAAGGAATTCGGTTACGTCCGTTTTCATGATCCAATAACTTAAAAAATTAATAGACAACATCGAAGTTGACATTGACTAGCGTATGATAACTATCGTGGTAAGCTTCAAAATAACCATAAACACTTTAGACGACCTCAGATGATTGTTTGTCGAGTGGGAAATGGATGTGTGCTGAATGGGTTTAATGAACATGTTGTGTTACCATGTTTCTTTATGAGTACAACTCTGTGTCTTAGCATAAAAGCTCTGTCGAGCACCACGTTCTACATATGTGAACAATGCGTGCTCTATGCAATGCGTGGCATACGTTTTTTTTTTTTCATTTCAAAGAAACATTGTTATTAATATAACACTTCGAAAATACATAAGAACGAAATGTTACAGAGAAAAAGTACAATTATGATTTTTCAAAAAATAGCTCCATAAATTAATCTAGAAAGATTTCGGAAAGTATGTATATATAGAAATCAATGCAAGCAGTTAGTTCGATCCTGCTAGCCTTTTTACGCTGAGCTGAATTAGTTAGAACAAGTCTGACTGCTCGATGTCCGACCTGCAATTAAGTGCGTCGGATCGCTTACCAAACACTGCTTGATTGGTTCTGAATCGTTGCTCGAAATATTTCGACTCTGATGATACTGCCCTAGCTAGGCATTACTTCAGAGGCTTGTCTTGAAGTCGCCTCGTCCTCTGCGCACAAAACAAGCAGCGTTCTGCGCCTAGCTATTTAGCTATGTGTAAGCTTAATGAGCAAGCACGTTACTACCGCACGCTCTCATGGAACCCTCAAATCGTCACTAATCTAGCTGCTACGTTCCTAATGATATTAACTGCCCGCTTGAGTATTGTGTTGTTTAAGGCGAATATATCAATTATCCCGAAGAATTTTCCCGGTGCAATTAACTTGTTGAACCAGACTGATATACTGTGGACAGTCATTCGTCGTCAGTACGCTTGTCCCGTGACTGTTCCAGAAATCTTGCTGGTACCGTTGCCACAAAACCGGTTTTAGTCCTACCTTTGGCCCTGAGGCTCGTGATGTGACGATCGTGAAGTTCAGTGTGGTGCATATAATTGCTACTCCCGTTTAGCGGATTTACATGCATTGCTAACTCTTCATCTGCGGGCACTATAGCACTGCCACCCCAATACTTGTTCGGGAAGCCAGAAACGGTCCGATACAACTTGTCCTATTGTCGAAAATACGAGGCGCTTAATTTAACTAGCTTCTGAAGCTATTATCCGCTGGGGAATGGAACCCACAGTCGGGCGATGTATGTCGTTCATCTTCAGTAGAGAAAGATAAAGAGCGATAACGTCATTTTGGCCGGATCGTAACGACAGCATTTAACGACAATGGCTTTGCCTTGAAGTTTATAGCTGTCTCTTTGTAAAACACCGAACTGTTCTCATGCAGCCCTCCGAGAATGGTTCTATTCTAACACTTATTTTAACAAGTTCACACATCGTCGACCTGATATCATTTATTCTATTTGCTGAACTGCGTATATTTTAAATATGATTCAGTAGAGCTTCGTGGATGTTGAAAGCGCTCAGTACGATAAGGTACCAGGGGTGTTTACAGATTAACCAAAGAAACAGATATTTTGGTCCGAATCTGCGCGCAAACGCAGTTTGAGTCTCTGCTGAAAACCCGGAAAATGGGACAAATGATGGGTGCAGTATCCGTTCACCCGCTTGATGACTTCTTGCGCTTGATTATTCATCGTTTCAAACTCAATCCCCTGAAAAGGTCACAGCGGTACCGAGATCTATCGTGGAAAAAATGCCCGACAGTCTGGGCTGTGAAAGATTTTTTTGAAGATAGCTATCAAGAAACATATGTTGCTTCATGGTTTAAAATAAAATCTCTAATATATCCGTTTAAAATGGACTGTAGTTTTAGGTAAAAAGTTCATTGGAAGTTGAAGCCCCTTTTTCGAACGTTATGCTATGTCATACAGTTTCAGGCTCGACTTCCTTCTACGATACGCTCGCAGTAGAAGTTACTGACAAAGTCACCGAACATAAAAGTCGCTGGTTAAATTGACGATTAGCCGTTTGCTTTTGATACTCTATTTAAGTTTGTGCCTAAATACGGTACGAAAGGATTAACGCAACACGTAGATTAGCCTACTACAGCATATACTTGTGTGAGCTGGGTTTTGTTACGATTGCCGCTGTGTCTAATTGACGAAAATTGGGTAAAAATATATTATCTTTGTTATTTTCACTCAGCTCCAGACAAGCCCTGACTTTCTGTGAACGACACTGCCTTTTCGCCTAGATAATAGGGATCACTTAACTAGATCTGAACAGCGGAGCGTAATTTAACATTGCCCCCCGCCCCCTATGAACTTTACAGCCTAACTATGACCTTCCTGTTTGCGCACCCCGCAGCTTTCGTCGTAATTCGTCCAAAGAGATTTCCGAGTACGAAGTTGCGTTGACCCCCCAAGACGAGAATCAGCCCCCAAAAAAAAATAGCTAACGGGACTATTTGTCCAAGTCCTCAATGTGGTCACACAACGCCACAAATGATTTCCCTTCGAGGTAGAAACATTGCCAAGCGTGAATAACGACCCAGCTTAAGCATAACCTGCCTGTTATTAACGTAGGTGAGTTCAACGGCCAGATCGTGTTCTGATGTCTGATTTTATTGCACGAATCGTGTTATTCCATGGGCGTCAACATAAATAAATTTCGCCTGCTAAAAGTGGAAAGGCCATAGCAAGTCGATTAATTAGTTTACTATCAGCTGCTGAACTTTCAGTTAATTTGCGTTATTGTTGCTATTCGTATTGGGGGCTGAAGTAGTTTGCGCTATATTGTCCAGCTCCCCAGATAGATTCATTGCTTTGTTGATTCAAAGTGAGATAAATGTCCACAAGTGACAAAAAGCAATCGCTTCTGCATATTCCCATTGCTATTGTTCCTTCCAACTATCGTTGCACCGGGCACAGTCATAGCAGACCGCGTCCATCGACACAGAAAGCATCAGAAATCAACGGTGCTTTTCACCTTGTGTTTTGCTAGTGTCTATTCAATAGCATCGTTGAATAAGCTGTAGTATCTAAACAAAAAAGCCGGGTGAAGAACAAAATGCTAGTCAAGGCGCACTAAAAAACTTTTTGGCGACACTGGGGGATGTTGGGCTGCAGAACTTAGGAGCTACAATACACCAGAAACTCCACAGAAAGAATTAAGCTTCATATCTTCGAGTACAATTGTTTAATGTTGGTGTAGCACTTAAGCTGGGCTTCTCGCCTAATGGGATGTGAATGATGACCTATAGGCAGAATGCTCACAGACCTTTTGAACTATATTTTATTGACGAAAAGAGTTTCTATTTATATATAAATATAGTTTTTGAATGGCTATTTTTATATTTGACAGAAATTAACATTATTTAAAAGAGTATTTAAAATTTTCTCTTATGTCCGACATTTGTTTTATTCTTACTGCGTTAGTAGTTCTGACAATTTGAAAGACTCCAGAATTGTTGCAACTTAAGGCTTTAGTTAAAATTCCTAATACATACTGTTAAACTAATTAGATCGCTTATATTGTAGATATGTACATCTATAGAAGTAGGACTCTTTTTTTTGAGTTTTGAGAAAGAGATGGATCCTAAGACCCTTTAAACGACGGTTTTTAGAAACGCGAAATAGCCTGTACGTACTCAGAATGAGGACAAATCGAATCCGTAACTTTTGTATGCTCCGCTGCTATTATATATTTCGCCTAGAAACTTAACGGCACTACACTTTGCTACTTGTCAACGTATATTGAATTGGATAATTAGTTTTGCTGCTCGGACTCTGCAAATTTGGAGAAAGAGTACCAACTCTTGTAGAAGCTGAGCGAAACACGTAATACGTGTTTAACACCTAACTAAACCTTGATCCCCTTAAATTGACAAGACATTTTCATCAGCATTGAATAGACCTAATAGTGATAAACCCTATAATTACACTAGGTAGATGCGGGAAAGTGCCGTTTGCGCTGTTACACTGTGTCTACCGTGTTTTTACAATTTCCAATCGCCGCCATTTCCGTTAGTGTTTGCATCAATACATCGGCACTATAGCGTCAGTAGTAATGGTAAATTCCTGTGATATCGCATGGTGGGTGCCATTATCACTAATCAGCAAAGTCGCCGTCGAACCCAAATAGAAATCGACCACGCTGCAGCTTCTGATAAACGAAAGTATATTTATATTTATAAGGAACCTCTGTGGCGCCACCCCGCCTGTAACCCAGATTTCGGGGCAGCTGCTGTTGCGGTTGTCCACTATCATAGCTCGGGATGCGATCTCTTGGGAAGCAAGCATACATCGAGGAAATGTCTTCATTTTTTTATCATTATAGACATATTCTGGAGTAAAAAGGGGTTCAAGAAGCAGAAGAAAATGTCCCACTCCTGGTGCAGCCATTAAGCATTGCGTTAGACGGCTGGCTTCTAGCACGAAATTAGGTGTACCTAGGCCCGACTTCGAACATGTCCTTAGGTTTAAGAGACAAACAGGCTATCACTCCATCATCACGAAAGCGAACAACTCACAGTAAACAGATTGTCTGACGCTTGGGTTTCTTCATCATCGATATAATCTGATGGGCCTGCCACACCTATTGATTGCATAACAGCTGCCCAACTCAAGTAATGTGTCTGGCACTGGACGAATATGCGTAGCATCATAAGCGGAGCCTGATCGTACTTATCAGTGGTGGCCGGCAAATCTATCTGCAAGGTAGTTCGGTGCGCAATTTCTGAAAAATCCTGCATGTTGCACGATGTCGAATGGAGGTATTTTTCTCCATGAAAATTTGCTAGATTTAATTGGAAAGAATTTTTGGACAATTTGGTACTAGTCTAAGTAAAACAGTAGTCGTGCTTACTCCAGAATCAGTGCAATTTTATCCGAAGTTCCAGCAAGATTTTAATCCAGATTGAGCATCAATCATATAGGCTATGAACGCTATTATGCCCGCTCAACAGCTTTTTTATCTTCGAGATTTTTTAATGAGCGGAAAATTACTATAGATTAATCCCAATGGCGGGTGTCACTGCCTAAACAGAGATAACAAAAAAAACACGATCCTTTTCATGCTTCTCGAATCCTTTATTCTGTACATATGGTTGTTGTTTTTTGTTTCGTTTATTAAAAGGAAATCGTACAAAATAGGGAAAACTTATATTGTTTAAATAGCTTTCATGGGCTAATTTTCATTTTCTAAATACCTTTAAAACAACAAACATTTTTGACGGTTCATCTTATATTTCCACTATAGATAAAGTATGATTTGTATAAAAATTTCATAAAAAAGGTTCATTGTTTTCGATTATCCCCCGCGCAACAGTTAATTGTATGTGTATGTACGTGTGGATGTATATGTATGTGATTCGAATCTTTATTTGGATCTAGATTATTCTAAGTCTAGATTTTTGTTCCAAGTGAAACTTAAAAAAAAAAAAAGTTTTTTGCTAAGACACATGTACTGGAGCTATTCAGCGAACAAAGAAAATTACGCAATTTTTTTTACCTAAACCCCGATCTTTTGCCCATCCCGACTTTCCTTCAATTGATTGTTGTTAGGTAAACTGTAGTGTCGAAAGGACTCTTTTGAGGAATCCGTAGCTGTTGACGAGCCTTCTACGTACTGTTTCTATGAGCATTGTTTAATCATTGATAATTTGCTGATGATCGTTTACATTAGCCTTTTTGAACATGCACGCAGTCACATACATATGCACGGAGAAGGTTTAGCTGCCAGTGTGAAAAAGTCCATCTTCTTTTCAAGCATTCTAGACGCCAGTGCTCAGTGAATCGTATGTATTTCGTTAAGCTTATTTTATTTATCTTCATTTTACGTCTTTCTAATGATAGCACTAATGATAACAATAACAATAGTAGCATTAGAGTTTTCTCTCGCTGATTAAGAGCCGTCTGTGATGGTAACAGCATACAATGGCGTACAGAACATAAGCTAATAAGCAATGTCAAAGTGAGAAAATGATATGTGAAGACATTTTTCATTATATCATATCATTGACGGGCCTGCCTATCATTGCATGGCTCTACTGTATATAGTAGTTCCTAAATATCTATTATCATACCATACATTAGTAGAGGCTACATGTGACACTAGATTGCCATTGATACGGACAAGAGAAATTCAAATTGTTTTACCGTCACGGCAAAACCAGAATAACAGATTATGTACGAAGCTGGGCATCGTTGAGGTAAGAGTGTTTTATAAATGATTTTTGATACTCCCAATCTGTATCTTGCTAACCAGACTATTATCTAATAGTTTAAGAACTTTTATCATCATAAAAGTTCTTTTATTGATCAAATAATTATAATACCTTATTTAGTTCAAGTGTGGTTAAAAAAAAAAACACTATTTTACCTTAGGTGAACGTGTATTCATTGAAAGAAAGCCTATATATTGTAAAATACTAGTAAAAACTTTAGATTACGGTGGGTTTAAGACATTTGATTAGATGGTTGTAGATCACCGAAGCTCATTCAAGATTAAGCGTCCTGAATAGCTAGAAGGCTTATGGGCAAACATTTAGTGATGACCTTACTTAGAAGAATATCGCATAGTTTCTAGGCTGGGGATCAAGCAGATCTGCCCGAAACCATCTCAATACTTTTTTTTTCTGTAGCCATTAGGCAGGAGCGAAATAATTGACCGAGCGGTCACATAGGCCTAAGTCTATCGACGTTATTGTTAACAAATACGAAACTTCGTGCTAACTATCATACTACATCATTGACATGGGAGAGGTGAATTTGAACACTCCTGCTATTTGTATAATAGAAGAAAATTCAGCATTTTTTTAACGTCGTTAACTTTTACTCAGTATTTACAGAGGGTTGAAATTTCAGCTGGAAACGTTCCCGGACTCCCCACATCTCCATATGAACCTCGACACAAATCAATGGTACAAACAAATACAAACACTTGAAATATTTACCGATTGTTAGATGACTATAATTCTTGGTCCAGAGATGATTTCCGATGTGATTCGTCGACTAAATGAAAAGTAGGCGCTTCTAAAGTAACGGTTACTAGGACAGCTGAATTTCTTCTATAACTCTACACTCAAAATGTGGAGTATAGGGGTTAGGCTGCGAGACTGATCAATTAGGCCATTTTAAACCTAAGCGTATTTTGTAACGTGATGGATAGCTTTTTCTTTCGTGTAAGACTCTCACTAACCATTAGCAATGTTCACCGTAGTCTACCAAATAAAGTCACAGAACTGTACGGCAGTTTTCTGCTTTCAGGTAGATGCCTACCCAATCCATAGTATGCGAAAATGACTGAATAATTAACAAATGATCAATAATAGGTATCTTATCCTTTTCGAAACTATTCTGTGTATCTTCTATCGATATAGCACGTGTATGGAGAGGTGAGCGTTCGACAAAAACCGAAATCCCACAATCGTACAACGATAAGACGTGATACATTGTTGTTGAAGTTTTTGGTCAGTTTTGTAGCATCGATATTTAGAATTTTGTAGGCAGCAGCCTCACGAGACATACCGTTTAAGATAACTATTATACAAACAAATACATGTCAGATGTGGTCGATATGGTACACATATCTGCATGATGGCGCTTATCAATTTGAAGATATTCTATTTTTCCTACCAGCTAAAAAATATGTTAGCCGTTCTGTATATATATAATCGTACTTCATGGATACCTAATACGATCGACATCTGAGACTTAGAGCGTCACCTATCATTTATGTTCAGGATGTGGACCCATACGTTTGTGCAAGCTCATCTTCACATCACACAATACTATTTAGCAATTTTAAGTACTACTCTGGTCTTCAGTTTGGGATTTCATTGAAGTGAAGCCTTTTGCGAGCAATAACGACACTGAATGCGTGTTACTATACCTCATATAAGATCTGCATTGATGGTAAACTCATCATAACTTCCCAGCCGGCCTAAACCACCCCAATAATTGAGCTTGGCTGCAGGTTTTACGGTTCGCTTTCCTGATCGGCTTGAATGTTCTGGTCGGCAGCATCTTCTAGCCCATCGTATTATAATGATGATAGCTAGGTCCACCTATGATAGGACACGGCATGCCCGAAAAAAACCTGGGAATCGCCTGGAGTTGCGCAAGACGGACGGGCACGTGGTCGGGCGGAACAAAACCCATCATTGGAGTATGAATGGCACCGTCATTGAGATGAATAGCCTGACAAGTAAGTATAATTTTTAGCTTGATGCTATAGTTTGTTTGTGAAATACGATCGTATGGAGGTATATTTTTGGCTAGAATAGTAATAGTCTTATTTATGCTTGGCTTGCATGAGCATGCAGACAACGCATTTTGGTCTCTGCACTGACTTTCTCATAGAGTTACCGCTATAGTCGTATCCGAGGCCCCCTGTAGTGATGCCAATGCGTAGGAATTCTCAAAGTTTGGTGGACGTACAAAAGGAAAAACATTTTTTAATCATTACCATACTCTTTTTTGTTGAGACATTTTTTTGTGTCCACAGCGATACGTATAAGGTTCATAAGGTGCTGGTTCTCCTAAGTGGGCCGCAGAAAAGGTGATCATAAATAGAAAAAAGAAATTCAAGTAAGCTGACCTGTAAGGAAGCTTGGACGCCAGTTAGAGCGAGGCCATCAAGAGGACGAGCAGCAAGTGATACTCGGGTCATGTTGGATACCTGTGGATAAATGGAATGGACATGTTTAAGCCTATCGAATTTAGTACCCGCGATTTAGGGATGCGATCAGCGAAATAGCTAATATTCCTAAAACTAGGGAAAGCTTTTCAAATTCAGCTGTCACGTTACGTTTCACCGGGGCCAATATGTTGTTACATTAAAAAATAGTCACTTCTAAAATAGACTGTCATTGTAGAAACAGCAAGGGCGAGATTCAACTTGAAATTTTTTTTTTTTTTTTTTTTATAGCAAACCTAGTTTCCTCGATCTCAGCCAAAGTGAACTTAAGTCTACTTGCACAAAATCTTTCATATTAAATGGGTCATATACTGTTTTATTTTACGATTCGTTCGTGTAACCAATACAAATCGAACACTGAAGTGTTCGATTTGTATTGGTTACGCCTTTTGGATAGTCCAACTCGCCACCTGAACCATCTGCATTTTGATACCTATACTAATTTTCGATACAAAAGAAAAAGGTCAACATTTTATAATTGCAATGTTACGTTTTGCCCCTGTTAAACAGCAGAAGCAAAACTGCTATACATTTTACCTGAAATGTCGCTTGTAATCTGGCAAGGCAATGCGCGGCCGCGGCATCCAAGGCTGACTCACGATCACCGTACACGACGTTTACCACCTGGTGATAATTACAGTGAGAATGATCAATAAAGAAATTTATAGCCAGACGATTGTCATCAACCTTATTAGAAAGAGACATTGCAAGAAAAGTCAGTATTCGCACAAAGTCCTAGATGCTTAGTTCAGACGGCAAAGAAAAATATATATACATAACGATTAATTAGATTTTATCCATTGGTAGTAGAATATATATTTGTTAGGTATAGATACCTCTCTTTGTCCAGCAAGGATTACACAAGGATAATATTGTTTACGTCCGTCTTCCATGGGACACGTTAACGTTTCGTACTTCGGCGTGCAGCCGAATAATTGAAGGGCCAAAGCATCTACCTGTCGCACGTACAAAGTTGATGGATTCTCGTACAACTAGCTAATTGCCATGAAAATCTTAATAACAACTATATAATTTATTCATTTACTCGTAGATGTTCTTACAGTCACGAACACGTATGTGATGCCTCTATCGAATATCGCAGTATATTGATAGTGATCCGATCCTATAAAATTCCTACATATTATAGTATACAGTCGTAATTAAACCAGCAATCGATTCTATGAACCTAGCAATTGATGATGGCATCGACAATGCTATACTGTTAGGACAAAGCTTCCTGCCCGATTACCTCTTTCATATGATCAGGTTTTGACGCGATCGGCGCTGGCAGAACGTACGTTGGTGAAGCCGGTAAAAGGGCCTGCCCAGGGTATGCCATCGGCTGGTCTGCTACTGGATGACGTATTTTTTGTCTTGAAGGTGGAACAGAAAATCCTACTTGCGTTAATAAGGCTGACCTAATCCTTCGGCGTGCTGGACTTAGTTTATTGAAATACATATATGAGTTAAAATGACTGACGTAAGGTTTTAAATGAAAGCGTTTTCGTGATAAACGTTACGAGAACATCCAATGTCACTTTTTTTATGCCACAATTTTCAATGCCAGTTATCCAAACGGACTAGCGGTTGTCGAAACTTCTCTTTGAAAGTATAATACACGGCACAAAGTATACATGGACAACATTGACCACTACGCCAATGTGGTTGGCATATCTACAAACCTCGGAAGCAACGTGTGCGACTTGCCTTTACGGCCTAGCGTCCTATGAGGTTGGCCATGGTACCTGAAATTTGCAATCGAATCTATGTATATCTATTGTCTTTACAATTGATTCTGTCGTTTCTCACTTTTCTAGTTCTGACTTGTGATGATTAATTCACTCAGACGAAACTTCAGGAACGGAAGTTCTGTTCTTACATACGTACTATATCCGTTCCGAGCTAATGGAAACGCCTCCAATCAACGCAGGGTCGCTTATCGATCACACTAGCACGGCTTATTGGAGATGGCTATTCTTCAGTTACTTTTACTAGTTGCCATATGTATATAATGAACGGTCGGTTAAATATAGAGCTTATCCGTTATACCGTCTCTCAACATACCGATTTTCGCTTTCGTAATTATAGCGATCTTTTTTAGGCGGCGGCTTAGCCCATTCCACTTCGAGATTCAATCCGTCCAATTTGAAGCCGTCAAGTCTGACGGCCACGAGCATGACAGGATGAGCATACAATTAAATGATCCATGATTAACTCGTTATGTTGTAGTATTGTTTTTAAAAAAAAAATCCTATATGCCTATATACATGCTTTGTCCATTGGTGAAAGTTTCGAATCTTATTCTCAAGTACTTGGCTAAATAATTTCGACGAATATTCCTAGATGCGTTCATGCCGCTTCGTCATTTCTCTGTTCAAGCACAGAACCTAGAGAAGTAAAGAAAATAACGAGCAAAAAGCAACTATGTGTTGCTTCGCCATGGAAAGATGTATACGACAAACTTTTTCATGGCACATTCGGCGTCCTCTCGTCGGGCGAAGTGGATGAAGGCATAGTTAGACGGGCGTCGTACGCGAGTGACTTCCACAGTTTCGTCGAGGGAGAAAAGCTTCAATAGCTGATGCTCGGAGACGTTGACGGATACATTGCGAACAAACAAATTCGTTACCTAAATACATTCGTGCATCAGACGAATCAATCGTTCAGATTCACAGTTCACAGCCAGCTCAGACAATATATCATTGAGAAGCAATTCCCCGTTTGTGCTCGCCTTGATTTTACCTATCACAAAATAGCGCTTTTAGAAAATTGGCGGAATGGAATCGTCTGCTACTTCGTTACTTCGTTAGAAAATTATTTTCAAATAAAGTATCTTCGTAAAAATTCGCTTATAATAGATCACAAAATACATCTGCGATTATCGATTACTCTGTGTATTTATAACGTATGTTGGGTACTATTTATTAACCGGGCTAGGCTTAAATCAGTAACTTATAGTTGGAAATAGCCATAGGCTTCTTAAATTTTGTGATTTTTGCATAGATCAACAAGGTAACCTCGGAGTCCAACCGTTGCAGCTATCGATATTATAAGGCTATCTATTTTTTGTTAACCTTATGCCCTTATGCCGAATATACGAATAAGGCCACCTCAATTGAATTCCATTATCTTATGTCAACAAGATAACTGCCTCTATTAAACATTGGGTGGTAAAGATGCATTTATTTGTCTTTTTTTTTTTTCTAAATTTCCCAATGAATACTAACGTTCGCCATTTGCTCGGCGTCCACTTGTGGTTCCGGAACAGCCCAGTCCACCTGTACGAAAATCGCTAAACGTTATCTAGTAGGTTACGACAATACCATAACTATTATGCATTTATAAGTAACTTAGATTGAAAGCATGGCAATTACCCCGTGCACCTACTCCTATACTTTGTGAAATAACAAGCAGAAACAGAAAATAGGTTGATTTTTACGAAGCTACATTCATACTATTGCACGAATTAATGCGGATGAGGCTGGATCAATACATCGATTGATCAACGAATTGGTCCGCCATTGATTGACTACGGAACAAAAGCTAAGTATTTATTTATTTATTTATTGTTTTGTTTGATTTTTCGTGATTTTTTCTAACGAATGAAACCTTCTTACTTGGCATTTTCTTATATAGGTGGAAGCCTTGAAGGGTAAGACTCAATGACTAGGTGAGCAGACACACAAAGGACAAATGAGAAATCAGAAACGAAATGTACTGTAAACTAGATGACGGCTTTCGGGCCTTTTCGCAGAATAGGCTGATCTCAAATGATCTTCTGAATAAAATAATGGGAACACTCATCTTTCATTGAGCCTTTTAAACCTAATCGAAATAGTTCTAAGCGTAGATCGACCCGAAACCTTAAAACACAGGTTAAATATTCGCCAGCTAGCACTCCTAGAAACTCCCCTCGGAGGATCTCCGCCTAAATGATCTTACTACGTGAAATTTTCTACTGCGTGCTGCCAGTAAGTCCTGTTTTCGATCAAAGAACATCTGATATACCTACCTGTTTCAACTTATGCTCAAACGTAAAATTCTTGCAACTCAATTATCTATCCTTTCCATCTATATATATAGCTTGTTTTACCTGTATCTTATGTCCATGCTCATTCATATCCATAAACATCCGGCTTTTTTCTTCTTGCTGTAGTTCCTTACGAGCAATTGCTGCCGACCTGTTGGACCATGTTAACAACGGACCGAAAGCATACAAGCAATCATAACAATGAGTACCTGTTTCCAATAACTTTTCTTCTCCCGTCTGAATCCTTCGTAAACAATACTGAAATGATCAATGAAGATATAAAACTTACATATGATCTGTAAATTCTACAAATGCAAAACCACGGTTTCTGGCCCGGTCATTTGCGCACGAATAAAGTATCACATTGGTTACGTTCTTCACTCGAACCGTCACCTGAGGGTAAATACATTGTTATTAGTGTGTATGATCTTACTAAACTCAGCTGATCAACTAGAAGAGATGATAGACGTATTCTCTGTAACGAGCTGTTGATCAGTCGTTTCAATTTCAATCAGATTCGGACACACAGGCAAAAATAAAATTCGTACTATTTATGCGCGGTTACACATAAATGGGCTAGTGAACATTCAGCTCGAAGGGAACAAGGGTGACCACGCGAGATCTTCAAGCATACCCGTTCTTCCTCGTTTTGTCGCGCCGCTTTAATACAATGATGCTGCAAAATTGCTGAGATATTAAGAAATCGTTTATATACAAGAGTATAATGCATACATATATATATATATATATATTTATATGCATTATGCTGTTGTATATGAACGTATGATATAAACGATTATCTCAGGATTTATGAAAGGTGACAAAATATATTTCATTTGTGAGTCAATTGTTTATACATTGACGTTTATTCAGTCCACCGGATGATGATGACAATAGAGAAAAAGTCTTCGTTTATACACACGCACACATCAAGAAATGTGACGCATAATCTAGACTTCAGTCGCATCGGGACCCACCTCATTGAGTATATCCTCGGCACTTGCCAATGGTGGCAGTCCGCCAAAGAAAAGTCTTCGGTTATCAATAGATAAAACGACCGCGATCCGCCTGGAACGACGATAAACAAAGGAAAAAAACTGCGTACTTTAAAGTAAACTAGCTTTAGAACGTTTTTAAAGTAAAAAGTAAATTCTATACACACACATGTTTATGTAATAATATAATAATACACAGCTGAAACTATAGTCTCCAAAAGACCTACGAAAGCTTCGAGGGAAGGTCTTAGTCCTACTATGCTGAGATACTCTCGATATCATTAAGGCCCTAAAAATATCTCAACGATTTCATCTCTCGTCTTAAAGCGCTTCGACATACTCTGCCTTTTATTGGTCAAATCACATTTTTTCAAATGTTAAACAATAGCAGCTATCACTGAAGGGTTTTTCGGTATAGTCAATGATAGCTGCCATTGTTTATCTGAAAGCCCTTTAGAAATAGCTGCGTCGTTGCGGCTAGCAATGGTTCAGGCTATAGCACATTGGTGTACTGGAAACATAACATAAACAACATGGAAATTTCATTGATAATAGCTCTTTCGAAGACGACGCCACTCATATTAGACCAGGGAAAAATTATCGGTAAAATCGAAGTGATTAAAGTAAGAGTCAATGGACAATAGAAAAAAGGTTGTTTTTTTCTTTATTATGTATCAAAAAAGTAACTGTTCTAAAAACTAAAATTAGCCTAGAAAGCAATCGTCAGAAGGGGATGGGAGCTTCGCCTAATTCAACTGTGAACTAAAACCAGCCTTTTAAAATAAGCAGTTTACGATGAAAGCGTAAGTGTATACAACGGTAACAGATGCACGTTTTACTGCCTCTTGTGTATATTGATTTACTAAGCTTGAACTAACGTACTAACTAAAATTGTACTGTACCCAAATAAAAATATTATAGGGTAGATAATAGCAGAAACGAATCTTCCGACGCAATCCGAATCCATTTTTCTTTAACGTATGTTTCGGCTAGTCTAAGGAAATCTCAGGAAGGCATTGTGAAGATAAGTTCGAGGACGACAGTGCAGTCTTGTTTAAATTGGTAGCCCCTGTTCTAAACAAATCCTTGCACCTCAGATGCAGACGTCCTTCTTCGTTTTCTGGGCAATCTATTTTCAGAGATTCTACTAGATGGAGCGAGGCTTTTACTAAAATTCATTTCTAAAATTATTAAAAAAACATAAAACTAAATTTCAGTTATTTCGACTGGCAAAACGTTGATTTTGATAGTGATAAGTGGTAACCTACGTCGAACGATAGACAATGATATATTAGCTAAAAAAATCGCAGTTATAAAGGCTCAATTGTGCCACTGCAGTATGCATATATTGCCACCACCGTATCGCCAACTGCGCGGATAGTAGGGTCTTCTTATTATATGCTATGTGCTAAAATGGCTAAATCCTAGATACAATTTCTATTAATCTATTTCTGCCTATCACACTTCACCTGAAACGACGTTTTGGCAACTTCTTGAGATGAATTTTTCCAAAATGGACATTCGAACGCTTTTATAATATTTTACCGAAAAATACCGAAGTACACTAGCCCGTGAATACTGATGATACGCTTGTGGAAGTATAACTAATAATCTGTTTCTTATATGTTTGTACTATCTAACACGTAGCATCAAAATATGTACTTATGTTCTCGTAGATATGACTGGTCCAATTCCTTAACGGCTCGTTGGGCGGTGGCCGGGTCGGCGTAGGTGACAAACCCAAATCCTTTGTTATGTCCTCGAGAGTCGATCATGAGACGAAACTGATATACTGTACCAACCTTAGGCATTGGAGGAGAAATCATTACAACTGTTAAAGACAGACTACGGTTACTCTGGCTATTGAAGTAGTCACTCCACTGAAAGTTCGAACTGAGGTACATCTCCTGAGAGACGGTTACTCTGGCTATTGAAGTAGTCACTCCACTGAAAGTTCGAACTGAGGTACATCTCCTGAGAGGTGATTGCATAATGCCGTTGATTGAAATTGCGCGAATCGAATACATCTCCCGGAAATTTACAACTGATGCCTTTTTTTAGAAAAAAACAAAAAAAAGCTCGAAAGGTATTGTCGCCCGGATGCCATTGGCTACAGTGACCCGGGGAAATTATACCTTTTGGTTAGTAACTGCCTATTTCTAGTCGCATTATTTCTTCTGTTCTTCCGGCAAATAATTCTTTGTTCCACCTCGCCGATTTTGCAAGTCTATGAAAATATAAGTTAATATATTATTACCTTTTCCAAAAATTGCAACAATTCAATTTCAGTAACGTCGAGAGGCAGTTTTCCTATGAACACCTGTTGGTCAAGGACAGAGCCATAGATTAGAAAAACGTCAAACCATAACGATACGAATAAATTGAGTAGTACACCAAATAATTTCGGACCAAATCTTTACCTCTGATCCTTTACTGGGTAATGGTCCTTGCCAATTTGTTGGGGGCCCGGTGATACGTTGTCCGTTTCGCATCATGAGCGGAACGCGTCGGTCATTTCGAATTAAGTCCTCGAATTTTCCATGTTTCAATGATTCATCCTTGAAGCTGGCCACAGGCGACACCGACTGCGCGAACAGCGTTCAAAATACAAAAAAAAAATATATATATATATATATATATATATTTATTTAAGGCAGCACCGTTTAGCCTATACAGCTGTACAATGGAACACTCTTAACAAAGGCCTCTCCTAAGTATTTCTAATTATGGACAGAACTAACTCTGGAAATGTAGACCAGTTTGTTACTTCACATTATTTGTACGATACGAATGTGAAGTTTTAACGCATTGGACCAGAGCTTCGTCAGTTACAGGACCGATTTTCAGTGATGCAGCTAATACCAACAATATTTTAAGTAACTTCTGCTGTATTCAGAATACTTGTTCTAATATTTATCTTTCTCTTCTTGTTTTTGCCTTAAATATAAACTAGACTAATGTTTTGAATTTCTCTAGAAGTTCCAGTGCAGCGTTAAGGGACTGCTTCAGACACTTGGCCTTTGGAAACACTTCTCGACCACCTCCACTGGTATATACGATTACTGCATTGTGTATATATATATATTATAATAGTTCTTACATAGAAAAAGAAACTTCCTTACCATTTCTGTCCGTGTCTGCAAACGACAGGAAGAATCTGCAAGTCAATACGTATCCCTATAGTCAAATTAGCCTGCTGGTATGTTGTGCGCCATCGTTGTAGAAAAGCATAGTTGAAAAAAAAGTTTTGCCTACGCAACAAACTTGCGACAGACTACTTTCTAGTGTTATCTGCTGTATCTACATAGATCACGTATATAATAAAATGGCGTAATAAATAAAAAAAGAAATTGTGATTATTAGATAGGTGGCATTTGCGCCAAATAAAGCACTCGGCCATATTGCAGAATGATCGTATTGCAATTCGATGAGTACGCTCGAATACATCTACGCCGTGGCATCACGTGTAATCCCGTTGCCTTATGGAAAAACAGGTATAATGATCATACTCGAATCTCGAATATCGATCTGCCCCAAACGACCGCTGCACGCTCGAAGGGCAGCACGTATGCATGCACAATGGAATCAGCCCGTATGATTGCCAAGGGCACCAGGATCCCCACGTGTTCAATAATCAACGGGTTTCGAGACGAACAGCCAACTGAGTGCAGCTGCGCTGTTTACTCTGTTTTTCCGAATAAAAAAAACCGATTAACCCGGACAATAGTGGTAACAGTTATAATGACATTGGCAAATCCGCAGATCCATGACCTTCACTAATTTGTATATTTGACTATACTATAGATACTCATGGCCAGCAGGCGCGCGCGCATAGATTTAGGCAGATGTACAGCGTAGACGAGCGCTGAAAGCATTGGCGATTGCGCGGAAGGGGGGATGGGCTGGGGTTCAATGATTCATTGCGGTTGCTGGTTGTATGACAAGAAAGCTGACCAATATGGTTATCGTAAGACGACATTTCATTAAGTAGGGTGATTAGTATCAATAAACAATATGTCGACTATTATTCTACTGTGAATAAAGAAGCAGTAAAGGTACCACGAAACCGCATTAGTATCAAAATATATACTTTGAGTGTGGTTTCAGCAGTATCTTGGGGGGCTGACTCAACGATTTAATTTGGCTTACGAACGACTTGACGAATAGCTCTCACGATTTCGTTATAACGTATTTTTTCGTCGTGTTAAGTTTGCAGTTATGTTGGTAGACATAATACGACAGCGTTCGATGTCATATTTAGTTCGGTGCCGACAAACAATCAGATGAAACGTTACGTGACGATAATTTAACTGTGAATCGTATCGGGTGAGTTAACGTTCTTAAGAATCAACTGCCCGAGTCACGATTGAACGACGTCAAAACAGCGTGACAGCCTGTGTGAAAATACGACGAAAAATTAACGTTATAGTATTGGTAAATCGTTTTTGCTCGTTTCTAAGCGATTTATATGTAAATATTGTTTACGGACACTAGGCCTCACATCTAGATATTGGCCATAATTGGGTAGCGGAAAACCATATTACTCAATTTTCCACAACTTGTCCCTGTACATAAGTACTCGGTGTGGAAGCTTAGGACGCGTTCAGACACAATCTTCCCTAAGTGCCCGATGTTACCGTGTGGTACTCCACATCAGCAATCACACAGACGTGTGCCATGAAGCACTCCGTCCGTCTATACGCGAACCGAACTATAAACAAGTGGCATTGAAAAAAGGTGCATGTACTACACTACGCTAGTCCGAAAAGCACAAACGACATACGTAATTCTCGTAGCTAACGAACGTTACCCGACAAACATTTGAATTAGGTTCTACCAGGCCGCGCTAACTTTGTTAATGCCGATTGTCCTACGTCTCATTTGGATCAGGCCAAGAGTACCGCGATGTACGTCGTTCAGCACAATGAGAGTCGGCGATTTGTTCACGCTGATTTGGAAAGACTTCATTATCGACAGTTCGTTTATGGGAATTGATGATAGGCGATGGTTGTACAAATGGCGAGCTCCTGTCTCTGTGTATGATAACGAACACAATGGTAGATAAGGGTGATCCAACATAACTATTACTGCTAGCACCTTCAAAAGTCATCTGTTTAATACAAAATATCGACTTGTTTGACTTGGTTTTATTTGTCGCATTAATACTATGAAGGAAAAAAGTACTTTTAAATTACTGCCATATTTACGGCATAGCCGATTTTGCAGGCTTCAAAAAAAAAACTAAGGCAATTATACTTTATCTGCCACAATTTAATTAACCTGACGGATTTGATTCATACGACTTAAATTGAAACTAAATAAATAATAGGATACCAAGCCAGGGGTTCTACGGGCTGCATTCGTCCGCACGAAACATAGCATGCCCATCTAAAAATGCTACTAAACATTGCTTGCTTTACGAAACGCACTTATTTTGTTAGAAAACCTCTCAGCAGTCACAGCTCTATAGATACACGATATAGGTACTTGACATACTAGTTGTGAAGGCTGTAGGACAAATCAAACGCTTTTGGGTCGTCCGCTTCTGAATTTCCCAAACTGGCTCCGGCGCGTGTCCACTAAACTCTCAAGCGGCACCGCTACGATGACCTGCATTAAGAGCCTCTATACACTTCAGTCAGTTAACCTTCAGTAGGAAATATCTTAGGTAAGAAAAAATTCCCCTCTATTCGATCATGAGATTGAAGTACCTCATGCTAAACTGGACCTCCGTTCTTCAACAAGCTAATTCATTGCGGCCGTCAATCCAGCAGTAAGAGCATCACAAACGAGAAATATCTTTGCCAATGGTCGGAATATACAATCGTGTTTCGACAAATTCAAATCAGCAATTCTGAAGTTATGGCTTTGTGTGGTGCGGCAAATTCTATCACGTCTCGTTCCATTTACACGGATAGACGTGGATTGTCATCGATTTTCTGTGTTATCTGCTATATCAGATCGTCAATATATGAAAACTCATGCACATTATTTGTGTTTTTCAATTGTCGGCATACACAAAGCTTTTCGAAATTATGTACACGTCGTACGCACGGTTCTGAAAACGAAAATGAGAATATATCAACAGCCTTTTCGTACTAGTCGTTTAGTGATAGTACGAAACGTCTGTCAGGATTGGTTACTGGTGCACTACTTTATAAATGTATCCTATGACAGAGCGCATGGATAACGTTGCTAAGATAGAAACGAATGCGAAGCTGATACGGAAAATTGAAATATGAGAAAAAAAAAAATCTAACTTTGCAGCATTACTGGAAACTAGTCTAGTATCAGACAAAAAAAACTTCGTGCATGGGGGACCGGCATCGTGCTCAACCCTCCACCGGGGCACTCGAGATGTTGACCTAGCGTACGATGCTCAAACTTTTAAACTTACATAAAAAAAAACTAATCGTTAAAAAACGATCGATCGCATTCTCTTTCGATTAATTACCACGACTTTCAGTAAAAAGTCGGGAGTCAAAATCGGTCTTTTCTTTTTTTTTTTTTTACAGATTTTCGAACGGATTAAATAATTTTTTTTTTAATAAATTTTTATTACCGCGTTTGGCATAGCTGGCCTAGAAGGCAGCGTGCGCATTATATGCGTCCCACACGACGTTGCATTTTTAAAATGGTAGTAAAAAAACAATTGAACGAATATGTACCCGTTTACTTGGTGTGTGAAGAAGGCCTTAAAGCTAAAAGCTGTTATAAACATTGACGTGTATGTATCCGACAGTCGTACTCGTTTCCTGTCTCCCGGTGCTACCGACACGCGGCAGGCGACGACTCATCTAAACTCGAGTTGACATTCGATTCGAGTGTGGTTATGCGTGCCGAAAACATATTTAATAACGGTGGTTATTCGAGGAATGGCTGAATACTTTTTCGGGGCCAGCTGATTTAAGCGATAACATAAATAGTTGATTTGTTCATTTCTCCATAGTCATGTCGTAGGATCGATGCAACTGATGGTTCATAACGGTCATAATGAAAAATCATTGCGCTGTTGCCATAAAACAGATTCGTAGTCTCAACCATTCGATCCTAATCGAATCGATTTTAAATTCGCATAGGCTAGAAATAGGCCTGTTGTTTATCCTAGAACGGAAAGCACACAATACTGCGCTCAAACACATACAATTATACTTTAATAATTCATTTACTATTACTACTACTACTACTACTACTACATACTATGCTACATACTATACTACTACTATATACTACATACTATACTACTACTATTATTACTACTATTATTACAACTACCACTACTACTACTACTACTACTACTATTACTATTACAATTACTACTACCACTACCACTACCACTACCACTACTACTACTACTACTACTAGACTACTTACTATTACTACTACTGTAAATCGGTTTCTTGTGGATCTCTTGAAACGGAAATATTCAGCATTTTGTGAGCCGACACTGCCCCCTATTATACTCTATTTATCTGAATTCTACTATCCAGTTATATAATATAACCTCTTATTACGTCGTGGTCATAGATATAGTCATGCTAAGTTCCAGTGACCATCGGTAAATACCTGAATATAAAAAAAAAAAAAAAAAGCTAGAAAAGCATGAATATTATGATGTTACGAACAAATAACATCACGATCCATTTAAACCATTTGTTTTTAAAGTATTTTTCTACTTATGATTCGTGACAACGGGCGATTGACGGATCGCGAGTTACGGGATCGTGGCCGAAGGAACACAAAATGGCAACCCAGACACTAATGTCCTGTTCACGTCGAACAACTCAATACATCATTGGTACGAAACAAACTATACTATGAAGCTAATCAAAGGGCAAGATGTTAGTAGAACCGGTGGAGTACGCGGTGCGGATTTTTGGCGGATAAGTGTTATAGCTGCTGTGGTAAATACCCCGACAGGCGCCGTCTCGCTAGCCCGATGGTAGCTCGGTCTGTTATCAGATATAATGTACCCTTTCGAATTGCATCAATGATATTCATAATCCAATTACTGAATAAATAATAATTCGATAAACATAACAAGCAATCTTTGTGTGTTATTGAAATGAAATGCGGTAGGGCATATTTTAATCAATGCTCACAATCCTATTTGAGCACCACTACGCGCTAGGGCAAACGTAGTCATGATCCTTAGATACGAATCGCATTGTTACGCGCTGACCGCCGTCACCTGTTGTAACTTATGCGTAATCCTGTACAGCTTCGTACACGATAAAGATCACAGTAAGTACAGTAAAAAGCAAAGTTTTTGCAAAAAAAAAAAAAAACAAAAACCCTATTTATCATGTTCTTAGTCACTTGCTACTCTATTTTCCTGCCCCCTTTTATGGCCTAGTAGTGCTTACTGGCTGGGTCGAAACCATAGTGATCAGTGGCAGTATCTGCCAGGAACACTTGTGTACACCTAGCAGTACGATAGAAAGCAGAAATAGATTTCTAATTTAACTATGGGCCTGTTATATATGAATAGGTACGTTCTCGCTACGCATATAATTAAGTACTTACAAAATAATCGGTTTTAAATGTTAGAGAGCGAAAATGGATGGCAATAGGTCATATTCGAAACTTTCTTTTCAGGGATGTCCCGTGAACGCACACTTAGCAAAAACCTGTGAACGCAAATAGGACCTTACTATATTCGTGTAGAGGACCTGCAAATAGATCGTGCTTTCAGAATCAGCAAGAATTCAACTGTCATCGGAAGGAACACTAGCTTCATTATTATTTTGATTCGATGGATAACCGATGTGGTCAGAGCTTGAATCTCTATTCTACCAGAAATTTAATCAGAGTTACAAAAGATAATCGAATAAACGTTACAGAAGAATTTTTTCTGGGGCCAACCTCTAAAATGTATAATTACCCCCTGTAAGCTACGTTTTTCATATAAAGCTGAACAATTTGTAATTTAATTTTGTACGACAAAGTCTTCCAAATACATTACAAAAGAAAATAACAATAAATAAAAAAATAGACCATGTTAAATCATTAGAAAACTGCATTACTTCCTACTCCTTGACGGACAGATGATTCGCTAGACACCATTCGTTACCCATGCAAACGTTTCTCCTTTATCTATCATAATCAAACACTTTTGAGATTACCAATGTAACAATGTTGAGCCAGGTTCTTTTTTCAAGCTATCAGAGTACGCTCCAGACCCCGCGTCGACCGGCAATGTACGTTCCAGTCGCCGCTGGCAGCATCGATAGACTTCGAATAAAAAATTAAGACAAAGAAACAGTAATTCGCCTATGTTATTATGCATTCTTAAGGGAGCGTCTAAAAGTAGGAAGTAGTCCTCGAAAGTGACTGAAACCCTCACTATTTGGGGGTACTATATATCCTTAAAAACTAAACACAATCATAAATATAGTAAGCGCATCATACTTTCCAGCTATACAGGGAAGGCAGTTATCCGTGTCCGTAAGATAGAACTGTAGTCTAGCTATTGGCTATACTTAATCATTTTTCCTTTCTGTTATACCGCCTCAATAGGTTTGTACTACTAGTGACAATGTATTGTCATGACAACAGGTTGCTTTGCACGAAAAGACCATTGAGAAATTTAAGGTACATTGCACTGTTAATCGTATCGACCGGATTAAGCTCACGGAGCAGCCGATGCTGAGGAGCTGTCATGCCCTAAACTCGAAAATAATTTTTCAGAGCCAATGATAGATTTAAATCAACCGCATTGATGTAGGCACTTTTTCTCTGAGAAGTTAACTTTCGATAAAAATCGTTTGCTTCTCTCAAATTTTCTGCTCGCACCTTTTGATAGCGATCAGTCTATCTCGATGCATGCCTCACGTGGCAATCTATCCAACGCCCACCTTGCGACACGGTTGCCATTGTATTCAGCATCTTCTTGTAATTAATCTTATAGCTGATGTTTCGCAGCCTAAAATGATACTTTTTTAAACGTGCAAAGAAATTACTGACCAGAGTTGTGCTCGAACGAAAAAAATATAGGGCGATATTAGATACTTACAAGTGAACTGCCACTTTTATCAAAATTGAGCGCAAACAGAAAGAGATACAAAGACGTGCCTACTTCTAACTAAACCATCCGTCATAGTATAGCTACCCACAAAATGATACCCAGATAATATAATTAACTGCAACGTTAATTTAATGCAGTGCCATTAACCAAAGGAGGGGAAATGTTTCAATGCAGACGAAGTACGAAGACCCTAGTCCTGGTGAAAGACAATTTGTGATATTTACAGCCTCAAGTCCTAGACGCCGCGTGTCGCAAGTACGACTGGTCTGCGTATTCTGGTGATTTGAGTGGGGAAGGACGGTGACACTTTATTGTGTCTCATCTCCATCTTCATGTACAATATTATATTTCCTTAAAGGGAAGGAGCTCGTAACTATCATGTACTCGAAAATGTTCAGCGGTCTCCGCGGCAGAACCTCGAAATAATTTAGCGGTCTAATAATTTTTGCTGGAAGAACAACTTATTGAGGGACTGGTCCTTAGCTTTCTGGATGGTTGCTTGTTTTGGAATTATTTCTCATCAGATGTCCCATATTGGAACTATCTCTCTCCCGCAGCAATTTTGCAATTGTAACAGGTTCTACAGATTGCTAAACTTCTACGTAGATTTCATGATTGTATAGAGTATCAACAACCGCTGTCGTCAGATTGGAGGTAGTAAATTAGGCTACACGGCCAAAGACACGCCATTATGGGGTTGCTTAAAGAGGATTCTTTAGAGGGAATTAGGGGGTTTCGCTGCAATATCTCAAAATGTCAGAATCATTATTGTCGTTTAAACACTTTTATCAGAAATGTGTGCGTCTTCAATTCTCGACTGTACAATCTAAAGTACTTCCATTTCTTCGTCAAATAAAACATTTGGCTATTTTTTTAGTGAATTCTTATTGACATTTAACACTAGACGTCATAGTGCATCTGTATCATCCAGTTGTTCGGATTGCTTGTTGTCAACCTCGTAGGAGAGCCAAGATGCAGCATGTAGTTGGCACCATGGCCGGCTCATCCGTGATGAATGGCAAACGATTTCCAGAAATTTACTGCACGTATTTTAACACTCTGAGATTCGTATCGAATGGTTAATAGCCGTCCAACGATAACAACGAGATACTATCGAATCCCCTCCGCAGACAATACGTTTTACGTATTCTCAGCCTTCGCATCGCCTTACTAGTGTTTCGAACCCCAAGTCCGGTGTTGTTGATGGATATCGCTTTAGATGTGGGCTTTTGTAGGTGTTTACCCCCGCATTCGGGCTTGGACCAGTCCATAGGCGAGTACGTAGGCATTGCACCATCGCGGCGACCTAACCTAAACTGTTCGTTACTAAATCTCATCAAGCTATTCTTTCAACTAAAAAAAACTTCCTCGCGCAAACAATAATAGCCTTCATGAGCAAAGATTAAATGAGAGTCTTCGGAGCTAATGAGAGGACATCTCAAGGCCTTCCGTTACCTTGAGCTGCGAAATAATAACGTGAAATTTACATACTATCGTACAATCATTCAATTGATTCACGAAATCTTTTACTGACTGTTGTTGGTTTCCTTTTCAATGCTTGAGATATGTAATGTGCTTTAAAACGCATCGTGGGATCCTTACCTTGATAGGATGTTTGGTCTATAATATGCAATCGCATACAACTGCAATACAATCCAGTTCCCATTCGGCATATTTTTATTTAGAAAAAAGCATTTGAAAGCGCTGGTTCAAATAGACCTTTTTTCCTGGGCTTCACCGAATCTGTTCCCGTGTTAATCTTAGAAACGTATTGCGGTCTAGGCATAAACACGGTCAGTATCGTACTGGGAGTCAGTCATCGAATAGAATGCCCAACAGCGATGCCGGATGCGAAATCCGAAATACAGCTTCACTGTATCTATCGTACTACTCTCTTTCGTCTGCAAAAATATGAAAGTTTGCCTGTCGTTGGCAGGACTCGAACCAGCAACCACCATGTAGGATACGACCTTTTTGATACTACGCCTTTATCTACCGGTATTGCAGTGGTTCGAATAGAAGATATTATTGTGTCTTTAGAATGACTGGATATCTCGTTCTTCGACGTTTGTAATTTAACTTGATTGTGCTAAGAAGAAGCCATTATGAATACATGTTATTCTGTACAAACTGACCTGGCAGAGGGGCAAAATATAGCGCTTTTGAAACTCTCCTTATTTACGCAAACTTTAAAGTTGAATTTTGGACGCAATCGAACGAGCAATCAAAGCTCGATCTCTGCCTCGGTATTTCATCAATCTTACCAGTTACTCGAGAGAAGATTCGTCAGCAAAATGTCAAAGTGTGCCATGTTCGGGAAAGAGTAGCAGAAATATATGGTTGCCAGTGCTAACAACCTGTACACCTATTGCTTATGCAATAGACTTCCAAGACGGAACGTGTACATATATTAGCTATATCTAAGTACACCACGACTGAAGGGTAAAAGCGCCTCGGGACGCATGCATTTCTCGCAGCTGAACAATCATGACCAAATTCGGGGTTTCAATGATGTCAAATTTTGATGTAACTTGTAATATTTAACTAAACCGTAGCATTGCAAGGATAGCCTCCTGAGCCAAAAACAAAAACTAAAATTTTTTCTTTCCAACACGGATACATACAAGATAAACGAACTAAATAGCCATTATCCGTGCGAACGTCTTTTTATTTTTTTGAGCAGTCGATGCAGTACTCTTCCCTCGCTCATTGGTTTACCGGAGACCATTTCGAATACAGCTGATTGATAGCTTATTTTAATTCTTCGAAATGTATCGGTGCTTTATTGGTCTTCGTAAAAAATGCAAGTAACTCAAAATGAAAATATCGAAATGGCTTATTTGTCATCCAGATCGAAAACGGAGCGATCTATGGAATCAACGATGCGCGCAATCAGAAACAAATCATTAAACCATTTGTTAAGTTTTTGAATTAATAGCTTACCACCTGTCAAGTCGGGCGTGGAAGTTATGTTAACTTATATGAATACAAGTATCCTATTGCCAATTCAATGCAGAACTCTCGCTGTGCCTTAAGCACCGGATCGTACGAACAGTTGAGCTGGTAAACTTTCTGTAAAGGCAACAATTTAGGAGTTTGTCAATTCTATGGCATACGCGAATGTATTTTTTTCCTATCGAAACTCTTTAAACTTGGCACTTCACACTGTTGCAGGGTCACCGCTGCTGTACGTCGTCCGACTTGCGTTTCCGCCGTGCGTCACAAAGTTTCTTGTCTTTTCTACGATGATCATTATTTAAATTGCTTCCCAACGATATGTTCCTGCTCTTCCACTTCAATGAAGTCAAACAACTCGGCACTCATCCGAGCATCACTCAGTCAAAACAAACCTCACTTCAGCGTTCGTTACCGTCATTTAATATCTCCCACACGTATCCTTTGAAAGCACAATCTTCATCTACCGAAATTGCGAGCTCGTCGTTTGTCACCCACGCACGCAAGTCAATGCGTATTAACAAATACGCTAGCGACGCCCGTACGTATTGTCACTGTTTCATCGGTTCTGTGCTCGCCAGTCGTCTCACTATACGATTTCCTCACGCGAAGTGCCGCACCGGAGTGAACGACGTATTGATTGTTATGCGACCGTCCTCTCACGCCGGCGAAAGGTCGGCTGGTCTCTCTGCCC